GACCTTTTCCTTTGTCGGTATCACTTATTACGTCAGCAAGATGTGGCAAAATCAGTCCTCGAAAACGAGGTCGGCATCCCAAGGTCGGCAAATTTTTGCCAACCTTAATTTAACCAAAGTAAGAATTGTTTGGTGCTGTTAGCTGTTAAAAAGTCAGCGATTATAGAATTCGATTCGTAGTTCGAATAACTGAACACACACGGTGTAAGGTTTAAAAATTGACTGGTATTGTGTATATACGTTAGGTGTCTGAAAATCAAATTTCGCGCGTCTGGAGTTAAAATTTGGCTACAACTTTTAAATTTTCCGGCTGGAGGTAACGTTCCAGTTATATTCCGATTTCAATGATTCGTAATTGTGTGATTAATAGTGCTCCAAGACGTGAAACAGATTTTAAGAAATGCCGAGAGTCGTGCCGACCTAGGTCAAATTTAGGTCGGCCGTTTTTTGCCGATCTCAATTTTGACGGTTTTCGAGGGCTTCAAAATGGATGCCGACAAAGGAAAAAGGTCGCTTCGCGCGGAAAAATTCGCTAGTGGAAAACCGGCTTAATAGAGGGTAATAAAGCGCATTTAGGGGCGGACCATTTGATTTTTGAGGGGGGTTGGAAGATTTCGAAAAAAATTTCCTGCAATCCAATGAGGAGAAAGAAAAAAATCATGCAGCATATAATCGAGAAAAAAAATATCATGCAAAAGAGAGCGCTCAACGTTCTTCACTTCAGTATTGTGTCCACAGGCTTGCAAGATTTTGCATTTTTGAGCAGGCACATTTGCTTAAAAGAACACGGGGTGAAAACGGGGTGAACAGTGGATAACATCACAGGGATTCTACCGCCTTTGGAGCCTATAACATATACGATATAGCCAGTGGTGTTCCCTGGCAAAATTGTTGCCCCACCCCCTGAGAAAATCTGGGCTTAAGATAATTATGTACAAGTTTATAAGTTATTTATAAATATCTAATATGCATGGTAGAAAAAGTATTTTTGGATGGTTGAGTCTGTGTGCGTTTTTTGATAACATAGCTCCAAACTATTAAAGCTTCAAAGGCCCATCTACAGGATGCAAGTTGAACGTACTGCATATACGATGATTTTAATGCGAAAATGCCAGTTTAGAGAGCCTAGATTTTAAAAAATTTCTGAAGAGGATGCAACCCGATCCCCAACAAGCTATCTGTATGAACGAGTGAAAAGCTACAGAGCTATATTTGGTGGAACATTGTTGTTTCGGAGGGCAGTTAAAAATCGCACTATTGAAATCTTGTTTTATTACATATTAATCAAAGCTTATTCTGTGATTTTCCCTTGTTTAAAATAAAGGACAGTAAGTGTTCCTTAGGTTTAGTACAGCAAAGTTGTTGCACGAATCCATGGCTGAAAACGCAGGAAATAGCATTTCCGAGGTTCACATTTTAAAATTTTCTCGGGGGAACATGCCTCCGAACTCCCCAAGGTTACTGAGGTCATTCATATACTGTACCTCCCCCATTTTCGAGTTCTCTACTCTATCCCTACATGCATGTTTTAGGTTTTGGTGCGGTTATACATTTTTTGTAAGTAAACCAGCACGCTTTAGTGTGGGGAACATTAAGACATAATCATATAAAATAAAGCACAGTGAAAATTCCTTGGCCCCTCTTGGAATTCAGTTCTCGACCTCCTCTGACTGAAAACCCCTGCTACGTCCCTGACGATAGCTATATGAAAGCGCAAAAAAAAATTTCTGCCGCAAAATATATTGGGGGGAAAATATCTTGCGCTGCACTTTTACAGGAAAAAAGTATCTGTCTTGTTCCCCTGGGCGGAAAATTTTTTTGCACAGTCTGAATCTTCCAACCTCCCCCCCTCCCCCCCCTCAAAAATCAAATGTGATAGGCTAATGACTCAGCAAAATTACCAACCAACAGTCAGCAAAAGATCACTCACACCACCCCCCTCCCCACCTCGAAGAGGGTTAGCGCCGTCCCTGTGAGGATGCGTTGCCACGTGCTGTAATGTGTGACCATGTGCAGTTTTGCTATGCGTGACCGTGTGACGATATGTTGCTAGGTTTGACTGTTTGTTTCTGTATAAGTACGTGTAACAATGTGTTATTATGTGCTGATAGCTGTGACCATGCGTTACTATCTGCTGCTATGTGTGACTGTATGTAACTATGTTTGACAATGTGTTACACTGTGTAAGGATGTGTCGCATGTGCTGCTATGTGTGCCGGACCATGTGCTGTTTGTTATGTGTGACGATAAGTTGCGATGTTTGACTATGTGTTCCTGTGTGCTACTCTGTGCGTCTAAGCATGTGTAATGATGTGTTAGTATGTGCTGGTATCTGTGATCATGTGTTACTATCTGCTGCTATGCGTGACTATCTGTAATTATGTTTGACAATGTGTTACTTATGTGTGAGGATGTCTTGCCATGTGCTGTTTGTTATGTGTGATCACGATAAGTTGCGATGTTTGACTATGTGTTTCTGTGTGCTACTGTGTGTGTAAGTATGTGTAACCATGTGTAATTATATGCAGAAATCTGTGACCATGCGTTACTATCTGCTTCTATGTGTGACTATCTGTAATTATGTTTGACAGTGTGTTACTTATGTGTGAGGATAAGTTGCCATGTACTGTTATGTGTGATGATGTGTCGTTAGGTGTGATGATGTGTTTTGCTATGTGCATGTGACGATGTATTGCTATGTATGAGTATGGTTGCTATGTGCTACCATGCATGTAAGTATATGTAACCATGCGTTGTGATGCGCTGATATCTGTGACCATGTGTTACTATCTGCTGCTATGTGTGACTATCTGTAACTATGTTTGACAATATGTGTTACTCTGTGTGAGGATGTGTTGCCATGTGCTGTTATGTGTGACCATGTGCTGTGTGATGATATGTTGCTGTGTTTGACTATGTGTTTCCGTGTAAGAATGTGTAGCGATGTGTTTAATATTATCTGCTGATATCTGTGACCATATGTTACTATCTGCTGCTATGTGTGACTATCTGTAATTATGTTTGACAATGTATTACTCTGCATGTGTGAGGATGTGTTGCCATGTGCTGTTATGTGTGACCATGTGCTGTTTGTTATGTGTGGCGATATGTTGCTATGTTTGACTATGTGTTTCTGTTTGCTACTATGCGTCTAAGTATGTGTAATGATGTGTTATTATGTGCTGATATCTGTGACCATGTGTTACTATCTGCTGCTATGTGTGACTATCTGTAATTATGTTTGACAATGTGTTACTTATATGTGAGGACGTCTTGCCATGTGCTGTTATGCATGAGGAAGTGTTGCTATGTGTGACTATGTGTTCCTATCTGCTACTATATGCCTATTTGCCTGTATGTATGTGTAACCATGCATTATTATGTGCTGATATCTGTGACCATGTGTTACTATCTGCTGCTATGTGACAATCTGTAACTATGTTTGACAATGTGTGAGGATGTGTTGCCATGTGGCGTTATGTGTGACCATGTGCTGTTGTGTCTGACAAGGTGTTGCTATGTGCTGATATGTGTGTATGTGTAACCATGCGTGTTATTATGTGCTGATATTTGTGACTATGTCACTATCTTCTGCTAGACTATCTGTAACTGTGTGTGACAATGTGAGGATGTGTTTCCATGTGCTGTTATGTGTGATGATTTGTTGCTATGTGCTGCTATGCATGTAAGTATGTACAACCATGCATTATTATGTGCTGATATTTGTGACCACGTGTTATTTTCTAGGTGTGACTATCCGTAACTATGTTTGACAATGTGTTCCTATGTGTGAGGATGTGTTGCCATGTGCTGTTATGTTTGACCGCATGAGCGGTTCCTGGTCAGGTCCAAGGATATTAATACATCCCAGGCATTCTTTGTCATTGCCCGCAATCACAAGTATTAGCAGCAGTACATGACGATAACAGTGAGTGCTTCCGGACTGAAATCCTGATGTTTGAAAGAAAACATCTTATAAGCCAATTAATTAATTTAATATTCCAGGTGAATTTATAACTTTGTTTATAAAATGTTTGAATATTGAGTTACAAACTCAACCACTGATAATCCTAATTGTAATTGGGATTACACTGACAAAGAATGCCCTGGATGTAGTAAAATCCTAGGTCTAGCAAGTGAATACCCTTCAACAGATATTCAATCAAGTGAGATGCCAAAGCAAATCTTGATGTTGGATATGTCACACCATTTAAAGAGCAACTTTGCTTTATACATTGTCAGTACATTGTTCGCTACAATCAGTGACATTGAAGGGGACACTTTATAGTTTGAAAAGTTTATATTTTTCTAAACAATTGCAAGAATAACATGTAACCTCCCTCGGGAGGTACACACAACGATGGCTCTGGGTACGAGAATGGAGAATGGATTGGCGCCACCCAGCCTAGCCCTGGGCTCTCTCTCGCGCGCTTGCTATGCTTGATTCATAGGGGTACGAAGGGGTACTTGTGGTGGGAGAAGGGTAGCTGTGGGGAAGGGACGGCGCGACTTTGCGCGGTGACGTCACAACTAACTGACGTCATACCTTATAAGCCAGTTTTATCGGTTCGTTTTTCGTTAGTAGACAGGTTCAGATTCAACTTCCACTACCACTACCGCTACCTTGACGGCTCCATTGGTAGCGGTCGCGACGGACTGTTTAGACCTGTTCAGATTAGACTAGCTTCTCCCGACGACCATAAATCGCTTTGTTACGGTCCCAAAACAAAAACATGCGACGATTTCCTCACGCTCTTGCAGTTACTGCGCATGTGTAACACATTTAAGGCAGCGGTAGTGGTAGTGGAAGTCAAATCTGAACTAGCCTGCGTGGCAGGCTCTCTGGGTCATCGCCTCCCCCAGACCCAGAGAGCCTGCCACGCAGGCTAAATCTGAACCTGTCTAGTGAAAGCTGTAGAACGGCTAGGAAACACGATTCGGAAAACTATGGAATGAAAATGGAAACACGGTTCGGAAAACTAGTCACGTGGATGTATCAGCCAATCATAAGAAAATTTTTGCGCGAAAGTTTGGCGCTTTTAAAGATTCTTGCCCGTTTCGAGACGAAAGCCTCGTGTTTTATATTAAAATTTGTGCCAAATCATTTGGTGTTGTTGTCTTCGTACAAGGTATGATATTTTTTATTTAATATTGTGTGAATAATGTAAAATTAAGTCTCAGGAATCGGTCAAAAATATATTAGAACACATATCGAACACTTTTATATGCCATGCCTAAAAAGTTCAAAGTTGTTTAATTTCAACATCAAATATATGTTCACGAATATATTCGTACTTGTAATAATATAATCTCTAGCGGTTTATAGCGAATTATGTTATAGTCTGATATTTTATATTATTATAACGATCTTGTATACATGAGAAATAGATGTATTGGCAGAAAATGATGTATTTCTTTCAATTGATGTATTAATTTTCCCCACGAATGACATATGCGAATTCCATGCACAGTCAACACAATCATAACCTTTAACTACTTTATGGTCATTAACCCATTGGATCATTCCAGAAGACATCCATACCACCCCCACAGAGGAAATTGGAAGTTAACCCCCCTACCCCTTTCGGATGTCCTAATACATTTACTATTATCAAAAACAATTTTGTCTCCCCTCCCCCTCCGGATGGCAGAAATTTCCTCCGTGGGGGGCATGTGGATCTTTTCTGGAACGACCCATTAAATGCCAGTGCTCTCCCCTTCACAAGGAAAATCCACAGCCAGCGAGAAGGGGGCAAAATACCTGGGCCCTGGAGTGCTCAGAGGGGCCCGGAAATCTCGGTCAAATGTTCATATTGTGTCCCATCACTTTATGTTCGACCTAAATGAAATATGCCTACTTGCACAGTAGCAAATGTGAAATAAACAATTTTTTGATCGTTTTTCTGCAAAAACAGTTAGCCAAACATTGTTTACATCGCGTCTTTATCAGTTATGAGATGAAATGAGGTATTTACCTGTATTGAACAAATTTATTGTACGTCCATCTGCTGGTATGGTACACGCATGCACACCACACATGCCATCGGCACTGACATTCTCCAGCGATTTCTTGTCTCATTGATTGCGATTAAAAGATAAACTTTGGTGTGGCCATCAGCATGAGAGTCTAGAGGGACGGGGGGCCGTATTCACCAATTTGTCCCGGAGCCCGCGGTTGCCTGTCGCCGGCCTTGGTAAAATCGTCCGGTGTTAGACAGAGTAAAATAATAAAGAAGGGCACATCACTCATTAGAATAGAAATGTTATCAACTCTGCAGATGAACTTCAGTCGAAGTAGTGCTTCAGTAAATTGAAACTACATCCCACCCCCGGGACACAGCAGGGAATTTAATGCTAAGGCCAAAAAAAAATATGTGGGTTTCCGGTTTCTTCTTATAAAAACTTAGGTAGGGTAGGTCGGTTTTAACTTCTTTTTTTTAACTTTTTTTTTACTTTTCCGAATAAGCGGACACCATTTTGTTTGCCAGTGCTTCCACATCCAACGATAAATTTCCCTAATATTTCCTCAAATTTCAATTTTCCACAAACTTTTTCCTCTAAGTGGAAACACTTACAAGCATGATCCAATAAAAAAGTTTAGGGTCGGGATTTCGACGTCCAAAAGCTAGGTAGGGTCGGGAAACCGGAAACCCACATATTTTTTTTTGGCATAACCAAGTGTTAAAAATTATTAATTCCCCTGCCCCTGGGCAAACTGGTCTATTAAAACTGATGTACAGCTGGGCTTCAGTATACCTAAACTATTATACAAGACAAATTCTGCATCATGGATGCATTTGAGCACAAGCGGCCCAGACATGGGTAGAGTCATATTCGTATCAGTGTATAGTAAATATATAATTAATATAGAATATACTACGTGCAGTAAAATTTGAAATGAATTTTATATTTTAACCCATTAAGCGCCAGCACTCTCCCCTTCACAAGTAAAATCGTCCAGCGTTAGCAGGTTTTTTTTCAGAATTTTCTCTTGGGTCCGTTTTGGCAGAGAAGATTGAGTTTAGCTGAACAGCTGGGGTGGCTGCACCCCCCCCCCCCTACCGGGGGGCTGACACTTGTGCTCAATAAATGTAGTTGAGATGGAATGTGTTAAAGCAGGGGCACTAAGGGACACTATAAGCTGGTTAAAGATGGCGAATGCATAGTTTTTCTTGTGTTGTGAGATGAATTCCAGCCATTTTTTCTTAATTGTCGGGTTTCCAACTGAAAACTAATTTACCCACATCACGAATTTAACTCAAACAACTTCATTTTTACTGCACTGAAACTTTGGTGAGAAGATTGAGTTTCAAAACTCAATTCAAGATTCAGTTTTTGGGGCCGTTTAACAGCCCTAAAAAATCCCTGAAAAAACCCCTGGTTAGACAGAGTAAAATACTAAAGTAGGGTGCATCAGGGTGCAATGCGACCCAATGGGTTAACTAGACACATGGGCAGATAGGCCAGTGTTACCATTAAGCGCCAGCGCTCTCCCCTTGATGAGTAAAATCATCTGGCGTTAGACAGAGTAAAATACTAAAGTAGGGTGCATCAGGGTGCAATGCGACTCAATGGGTTAAAATTATATTTACTTGCCTAACTTGATTGTATGTGATCGTTATTTATTTCTGGGTGACTTTACACTCTATGCTTGTGACTGTCATAGGTCATAGAAATAAAACAGAGGCTAAAGATTCCCGTTCTGAAAACGGCGATACGAATACTTCAACTCGAAAAATATCCCCTTTAATTTGCATGTGTATACTATAGAATAAACAGAATAAACACCCATCTTCGAACATACAATGCAATTTTAACATGTCCTATAATTTTTGGAATGGATTTTAATTTTTAAGAAAATGTTTTGAAACCAAATTCTATGGAACTTTGAAAGCCTGATGATTACTACCGTGTCTGCTTGGCGAGCTAACCTCGTTTACCATAATTTGGATTGTCAGGGGCGAATATGCAAATACCAAAGACCTATTTCCGCCAACAGCCAGCCAATCAACACTGTGATAGCGACTGTTTACAATATTTGTAATCTGATATAATTGTAATTTGCAAAACTCTTTCAATCATATGGTATACGATCGAAAGAGTATTAGAGACCATATCAACTCCGTTATGCGTATCAGTTCTGCTCATACAAAGGGGGACCCACAGATATAAACATTGCCCGAATTTTGCATCTTTCGAGCTTTTGTGAATTGAAATGTACTCTAGTTTATATTCATTTACAATAGCGAACCTGAACACATGGGCGGATTTACTTGGGGGTTAGGGGGGTTAAACCACTCCTAGAATCTCTAACCCCTCTAATAAAGTGGTCAACCCCACCAAAATTTTGCTTCACCCCTCCTATTTTGTGTGAAAGGCTTTAACCCAATTGCCAAACCGTTGCTGAAGCTCAGTGAGGTGTGTCGCTTGTACCCCACCAGAAAATTTTCTACCCCTCCTTCTAAATAAATGAAAATCCACCCTTGCCTGAAAAGTGTTAGATATTCAGTTAGTACAGTATGTCTTATATTACAAATATAGCAGTTCAAAATGTAATTTACATTATGGACTTGACATGGTACAGTATTTGGGGTATAAACCCCCGCTGTTAAGGGAAATGGCATAAATCCTGAATGTATTGAAATATGTGTATGAAATGGCTACTAACTACTGTAGATGTTATTCTTGCTGTGGGGGGTTGCTAAAATAGCCTTGAAGGCATGTCCCTTCCCACTGAGAACCACATATAGGTTAGTACTGTAAACAGATTATTTTATCAACAATACTGTACACCATAAGTACTGTACATTGTAATTTCTTTACTCTTTCCAGTGAAAATGGCAGACCACACTGATTCAACAGAGGGAAGCTCACCTCCTAAACGTAAGGATATTTAACAGTTATTCTACGAACTCGAGTCGAATATGAGCTGATAGCCGATGAGGCGCGTAGCGCCGAATCGGCTATCGCTCATATTCGACGAGAGTGAGTGGAATAACTGTTTTATTATATACACTAGGTCTGAATTCACAGACTTTGCTTTTCGGATATTTTCAATATTTTTCTATTTTGTTTATGTTTTTATCTTCGCTCTTTCGGCCGATTATTTTTCCAAAATATATCTTTTTAACCATTTTAAATTTTAAAAATTTATTTCCTAACCTGTAAACAATTTGTGGGAGTTTTTTCATTGTGTTTTTAATCCTGAAAGGGCTATAAAAAGCGAACAACTTGCCGTTTTCCCGTTCGCAAAACATCAGAAATTCAATTTTAGCCGCCATTTTGTTTTTCTCTACTAGCAGGATATGAGCTAATATCCTGCTAGTAGAGAACCAATCAGATTGCAGAATACCTCATATCCAGACCTTGTGTATATAATAAATAATATTATTCTACCAGCCCCTGAATAATATATCAACATGTTAAAATTTTGTCAAGGTGGTTCAATTAATATGTTGGAGATTTTGTTTTTTCTTTTGGAGTTGATTATGCCAAATCTTGGCCATCTGCCCACTCCTTGAAGAGGCGTGTAAAGACAAGACCATGATTTACATATATCTTGAAGAGAAAGCTAGTATTGATTAAACTCTTTATCTAAGTATAAATAACTTGAAATGTATTTAGCCCTCAAGCCTCTATTTAGTCCCCCTCCCCGTAATCCCCGCCAGTCATATGATCTACTGGTAATTCAACAAAAACAGTCTTACTAATGTTCTTGTATTTACTGTACTATAGAAGACAGTATTGTTGCAAGTATGATGCAAAATCCACAGGTTTTGGCTGCCCTTCAGGTGAACATTTTCAAACATTTCTATCATTAACTATCAATAAATATTTAAAGCATTTGTTTGTATTGGTACTAGTATATGGTTTTGAGTGCAATTTGAAAGAAAAAATATGCTGTACAAGACAGTTCTTCCAATCAAAATTGCACAAGTGCGAAGGACAAGTGCAATTTATGTCTTCGAAAAACTCACATGTGTTTACAATGACAAGAAACCATACCATATGTATGGCTAGTAGGATGTTCTTTTTTTATAATGACCAATAACAAGGCTTAAATTTTTAATTTAATTCAATTCAACGTTTTGGAGATTAACTCCACCATCAGGTAAAAAATTATTGGTCATTATAAAAAAACAAAAAGAATATATTATTAAAGTTTGATAGTAAATATACTGAAGGTAATAGGATGGTTTCAAGTGTTTTCATGCAATTTGGTTAACCCTGAAACATGTACAAGTGAACTTTTCAGAAATGAAAATTTACATTGTTATATTTGCGAGGCCCACCAAGCGTGTAACCTCGGTTGCTTGTCACTTATTTTGTAGCTGCTTTGTTGCTTGTTTTATTGTAATAAATCTCGGTGTCACTTTTGACCCATAACACAAATCACAATTTGTCGCTTTTTCCCAGTCAGAAGCTGTCGTTTGTCGCTCTTTTTAGATAGTCTGTCGCCTCTTTTTAAGGAATGTCTCCTGTCGGTCATAACCCCTTGGTGGGCCTCATGTAGCTGCAGCCATGTTGATTTTCCTGCCTCATCTCCAGCGTCTTCTCTTGTTTTATGTTACTGTAGTTTGCACTGTGGAAATTGCACCGCATTGCAATATTTTTTTTAATTTGCACTGTAATCAGCATTGAATACATTTTTCATGTACTGTATATTATTAATTTCTTTATACAACCTAAAAAGTTGTCTCTATATGCCATCTGTGTGACTTTTACTTTTCGTTTCAAAAACAGGAACAGTTGGGAAGAGTTATTGGGACTTCATCAGGATATATTGAAAGGTAGTCTACAGTATGTGCAATGTCTTGTTTGTAATTTGACTGTGCTTAGACAACTTTTGAAGACAACACAATAGCCCGGCAGATTCAATACTGCACGAGTGACATTTACCCTCAGTGTAAACGATATAAATGCATATATTGAAGCCTAAATTGTTATTATTAATTGTTAGTGTCTACTGTGAGGCCAAAACATATGAAAATTTTATTTAGGTTTCCCCCTAGGCGTAAAAAAACAAAACTTGTGGTTCCGGTTCCCGACCGACCCTATTTTTTTCTGCCGACCCTATTATCTTTTCAACGCGATTGACCGTGCGACCCTATTTTCTCCAGGTGGTTGCGTGCTGCTCATACAGCGTGCCAAAATGGCGTCTGTGGTCACACTAATTATTGAACCAAATTGCCTAAATTCGTCCATAGGAAATACGCATCTCTAGTTAATATTGATGTCGGGACAATACTGCAAATCGCCCAGCAAAAAACTCCGCCAAAACCATGAAAAAATATTCAAAAAAAAATTTATTTCCGACCTACCGATCCTAATTTTTTCACGATATGAAACCGGAACCACAGGCACAGGTATTTTTTTTTACGCCCAATCATTTTTAAGTCTAGCGTCAAATACAGGAAGTTGCTGGAAAGTGGTCAAATGTTTGAAAATGAATTGGTTCATATGAACAAATAGTTAATTTGTATATTTTGTGAACACTTCAATTGCCAGGACTGTAAAGAGAGTTTTTTGTTTTTAGCTTACCCAAAGCAGTTCAAAGAAGAATAAAAGCATTGAAGAATGTCCAGGTAATGTAAAACTAACTTTAATCTGTATCGCATCTGTTGTGCATTTGAATACAGAGTGAGGATGAACTAATGTGTGTTCTACACCGTTTTGTGTGGACTGCGCATTAATCTCAAATGTTTCGTCCAACGTTTGAGGTAATGTTTTCATAATTCAACGAATTGATTGAATTTATGCAAATCGAAATAAACATGGCCGTTGAGGGAGTAAATACATATCGACTTCAAAGGAAATCGTTTCAGTTTCATGAAGATGATAATTGTGAAGTTCATTAGAATACATGCAGTTTATAAATAGCTGATGCGATAATTTGATTGTTTTTAATATTAAATCGCTAACACTTTGCGCCGCAATTTGTGTGCCGAAAGTGTAAAGAGAGTTTGAAGTCGTGGATACTAGCAGAACACGAAAAATTAAGACAATGCCGCGAGATCTCATTTAATGTTGAAAATTAAAAAACGCGCAAAATTAAGGCAATGGCGAGCTCACATTTAATTTTGAACGTGTATCATAAACTTAACACACAGAACCGACATCATACGCACAAAGCCTCTTGCAGGTTTATTAGATTTTGTATCAATTATGGTTTATATGATATCTGCTAAGATTTGCATAAATTTTGTCAAATTTGATGGAAATGATTGGAAAAGTGATTTGAGATTATTGCATCCTGATATCATGTTGTCTATTCTGATATAGGTGTCTTGTATGAACCTCGAAGCAGAATTCTACAGAGACGTTCATGCTTTAGAGTGTAAATATGCAGAGAAATTTAAAGCACTTTATGAAAAGGTTGGATTTCCTTCACTTGTTTACATTTTTACAGTAAAGTGCAGCGAATACTATCAACGAAAAGCAGCTTGCAATAAAGATGTACCGAATTGTTTACATGCCAGTACGTTTTTCGATTTGAATTAACGCACAGTATAGACCCTTAATGATATGTCCGAAGCCGAAAGAACAATTTTTCGCAAGTGATTGGCTCGCTAATGCAAGTGATTGGCTCGTCAATGCAAGTGATTGGCTCGCCAGCGACTTCCATTGCAAATTGTTGCTACCTATCATTGACTATCATTGATTCAGTGGTGCCTAAATTACTTTGAATTTGTACTCGAGTAAAAGTAGAAGTAATTAACAACAAAACGAGTAAAACGACTTGAGTAAGAGTTAAAAGTACTGGAAGCAAAACGTACTTACTGTAAGTTTTCACGGCATGGTCTACTTTCCAGACCCCGTTGAAGATATAAGAAATCCATTAAATAATTAATACTTAGGCAAAAAAAATATGTGGGTTTCCGGTTTCCCGACCCTACCTAGCTTTTGGACGTCGAAATCCCGACCCTAAACTTTTTTATTGGATCATGCTTGTAAGTGTTTCCACTTAGAGGAAAAAGTTTGTGGAAAATTGAAATTTGAGGCAATATTAGGGAATTTTATCTTTGGATGTGGAAGCACGGACTAAACAAAATGGCGTCCGCTTGTTCGGAAAATTAAAAAAAAAGTTTAAAAAAAAGTTAAAACCGAACCTACCCTACCTAAGTTTTTATGAGAAGAAACCGGAAACCCACATTTTTTTGGCGTTACATAAGTAAGTCATAAACGAGAGATCCCAGACGCATGTAGAGGTCGTATTACCTATCCCGAAATTGAAATAAATCAGAAATAAATCACGTAAAATTAAACAAAAGTTGGAAAGTAACGAAATACTTCGCCACAAAATGAAAATAACGAAGTAAAACGTTACTTCTTAAAACGACTTCGTTCCAAGTAAAAGTACTCCAGAAAACGTTTACTTTGTCACATGCTGACTTCTCAAAAGTTGTACTCAAGTACAGTAACGAAGTACGTTTACTTCGTTACTTGACACCACTGCATTGATTATATATACATTGGGGACATAGATAGTGCATGAGCATATACTGTGTAATGTTCGTATGCTCAGCATGTGGTTGGCAGTTGCGGTAATTATGTACTGCATGGAGTTAAGGAAACATGGGGCAACACTACCTGCATATCTAAAGCCTATAGTACTGTAGCTTCCAATACCAAATGTGCACTTTAAAACCTATTATAGTTGTATTAAAAATTCAGAAGTTACAAGCCGACTGCAGTAATCATGTGATATCATGCAGTGTAGATGGCTATCAGGACCTGGAGTTACTTGGTAAAGACTTGAAAATTTCTTGGCTATATACACATTCAGTAAATAAAATCTGGAGGCTTGTCTTTGTCAACAGTCGTTTGCAAGGCAAAAAGATTTTTTGTTGAATTAATATATCTGCCGTGTATTTATATTGCAAGATTTCTTAGACGTCTCTATATACGAATTAAATGTCAGATTGTGTTAAGTGCATCTACAGTGCAAAGTATACTAGGCCAAAACGTTTCCCGACCCTACCCCTATAGCTTTCGGCCACAGAAATCACCGAACCTAATCTTTTTTTTTTAAGTTTGCGTAAGCCGAGTAATATAATAATATATTAAGCTAAGTACTTAAACGGAGGATTGTACTGCTCTTCAGCGTGATTTAACTTCAGTATATATTTAAATGGCCTAACGATTGGGGACTATCATTTAACTGCAAAAAATGCGAAGTTACTGTATAAGAATACCTAGAAAGCTACTCAGTATATGTTGGAACCCACCACCGTTAATCCCCACACCATTGATGACCATCCAGTTGCTTCAGTCTCCTCGTCAAAAGATCTCCGGGTTATATAGTTAATAATAAGCTTATTTCTTCGCCATATTTCTTCTGGTGTTGGAAAATCCAACAAGACTCTCGGCTTTCTACATCGGCAATTCGTACATTGGACTTACTCACAGAGGATTACCGTATTTCCCCCTGGTGCGCTCCCACCTAAGTTACTTCCGAAATCTGGGCTCCTCAGACACGCAAATCCGACATGAAATTACTGGAGAGTGTCCAGAGGCAAGCTACGTGATTCATTCTTAATTGTATAGCAAAGATCCTAACGTCCGACCCAAATTCAAGTCTCGCTTGATTGATTTAAATCTGCTTCCTATTACTGGCTGGAGTGTCGTGCTATATGCTTAATGTACACATATATAAACGATTCAATGTACAGCTCGAAGAATACATCCAAATCTCCAGTGGCGGAACCAGGACCTCTTTATACTGACAGTTTGAACCTGTACCCACTGGTACCCAAGGGTGGGTTGTAGCGAAGTAGTTGTAGTTCGCTACTGTAGCGAACTATAATTTTCAAGTGGCCAGTAGTTTTTGACTACTTTTTTAAAACAGTAGCTGTAGTTATAGCGAACTACATTTTGCCTAAAAGTAGCCAAGTAGTTGACTACTTTTCAAACAGCGAATCGCTATTCGCTACTTTCTAAAATTGTTAGCAACTTGATAGAATAGAATGATATTGAGACACGGTTTGCTTAAAATCAATACTCATAGTCAATACTGTCAATTTTCATTCTTGAACACTGTAGTGCTTACAAAAATGTTGCTTTGTGTCTACTGTTGCTACTCGTAAGTCGATTTGTTATAGGTTACATTTCAGCCTGAGTTAGTAGATGCTCCAAATACAGTAAAACTAAAAAATATAGCGTAGCGAAATAGCGAATAGTTCGCTACATTTTTTAAGCAGTAGCTGTAGTCAGTAGCGAACTACCTTTGTTGAAAAGTAGCAGTAGTTGTAGCTGACTACATATTTTTGAAGTAGCTGTAGTTATAGCGAACTACAAAAATTTTGTAGTCAACCCACCCTTGCTGGTACCGTACTTCACTTCAATCGTATATTGGGCAACAATTTACTTCTTGAAATCTGTAAATCATCTACTTTCAGTTCCTTTAAAACTCTATTGTACAAATGTTATTTCAATAAACTAAGTAACATTTTTTTATACGGGCAGACTAAGTACCTGGAAGACAATATGTGTCCTTATTGTAGATCTATTGACATTCCTGCTGTTAAAACTTGCAGAAACAAGCAGCGAGGGGTGTATTTCATCTCTTGATTAGTAGGATACCTTATCTTCTATAACATCTTATAAACCAGTTCTTATATATTTAAACTTATTTACCTTCTACTTTCAGTAGTTGCGCGATCAGGTCAGAAATGGCTACACTTAATTAACAAATCAGTTTCATGTCACACGAGCATTTATCAAAACATAGATTACAGAACGAAAACCTGTCCTGCCCTATAGGGCAGGAAAACCTGTCCTGCCCTATATTTCTCGTTCTCGTTGTTCAGGAAAACCTGTCCTGCCCTATATTTCTCGTTCTCGTTGTTCATATATTACATAAAAATTTGTAAGAAAACTTTGAAATTTCACACACAATGCAATGCAATATTTCCATTTCGAGGTAATGTTCTTAATTTATTCTTGATTGTAAACCGGTGTTGTTTTTCAGCGCGATTCGGTAGTCAATGGTGAATATGAACCAACAGAAGAAGAATGTGAGTGGGAAAGTGACGAGGAGGACGGTGATGAAAAAGATGAAAACTCGGAACAAAAATTGTCGGTAAGAATATTTCATAATATTCTATTCTCAACAAGTTTTACTTAATGTGATTGAACTGCGCAATTTTAATGCGCATCTCTAATGGCAAATTCTAGCTAATATATCTAGTCGAACTGCAATGTAAAGTGATAAAGAAAGAGTAAGGGCAAAGAAAAAAACACTCTGCATTGATTAGGCTTGCTTCAGGAAATATAGCTTCAAAAATGACAGAACTCTGGCTAGGGCTCCCTGTGCAACTAGCACTAAACCACATAGTGTTGCATGTTTAACTCTTGTATCTCTTTAAGAATGTCCGTGCTCGTACTTTTTATTTTATAAGTTGAGAAAAATAATTTCTACAACTTTACATTTTTCGTGCATGCTTTCCGAAATAACATGTCTGAGAAGATGGGAAAATATATTTTTGCAGCACAACAATGCACGTCAACGGTTTTTGATTCGCGAAAATACCATGTTTCCTTGTGTATATAAAAAAAATTCAATAACGGTTGAGAAATTGCGATTGTTCCAGTAACTCGTAAAATGGTCAAGATGGCGCCTTATAGGGGAAAAGGTAGCGTGTTGCACTTGTCATATCTTCGAAACGAGTTCGGTGACCCTATAGCTTTTTTCTGTTTTTACTGTGAGCATGGCATAAACTTCACCCCTCAGAAGTTTCAGCAAATTCTTATTCCACAACAATTACTGATGAATCACCTTAACGTGGCTGCAAATGTTTGGTGAACATGGGGCGACGCTCGGGGTCTGACTATAAATAGCGATATTTCTTAGCATATCGCTCGATAGAACTAACAGTTGAAGAATTTATAGATGGAAATTTTGAGTGAATTTATGGCGAAGATTATATACAGTTGTAGCGCTAACCATGAGTACAGTTGCAAAAATGCAACTATAGGCCCTCTGGTAGGTTTTCGAACCTGCGACCCTGCGATTCCGGTGCAGCCAAATGAGCTACAGAGACCAGTTGTCGAGCTCTAACCACAAGTTCGAGTTGTATATATAAATTAGTGTTTCTTGTTGCGTATTTTATATACAAAGTGTGCTTAATACTGTAAAAAGAGCATCTTTTTTATGTTTAAACTATTCAAAGATTCATTGTTGCATGTACTCTGAGTTTCATACACATATGCAATCTACAGGGGGCGGTTGTATAAGGCTCTTAACTACTTTTTAACTGTCTACTGTTTAACATCACAAGGCAGTACGTAAGTGAAAAAAATCCACATGTGAGATTGTCTTGTATACATTTTTGCTTTCTTTGATAAACATTATTAAACACGCAAATTTTAATTAGTGAGACGCAATGTTAAATGTCACCTGCATGTCATTGTCATTGCCCTTTAACCCCTGGTCTAATTGGCCGCTTTTGAAAATGTTGATCATGACGAACCGCACTGCCTTAATTATGCAAACTTTGTGTTTTAAAAACGGGTTAGGAGAAAACGCGGATACGGACGGACGGATGAATGACGGACGGACGGACGGACGGCGACGGACGGACCGGACGGATGACATATATATGTCATTATATAGCCTGCGCGCAGCCGCTCAGGGTAGTTAGTGGCTTACGTCTTCGCTGGTTGTTATACTTTAAAATAATCTTGTATATACTGATAAATCAATATGCCGAGTATATAAATATATAAACTGGGATGTCACACTGATAGCTTATTTACATTTCCTGGAGCATCATGAAATCTTATGTTTAACCACGGTGGTTTAACCCATTAGCTGGCAATGCGTCCTTCCCTTGTCCAACGCCAGAAGATTTTACTCATCAGTGGTATAGGGTACTGCCAGTAAATGGGTTAACAAACCTATCTGCCAATGGCTCTTGTTAATTCATCAACACAGTAATGGCCCCTACTTTAGTATTAACCCTGTCCAACGCCAGACGATTTTTAATACTCAGTCAGTGGTAGGGTACTGTCAATAAATGGGTTAACAAGGATATTACAACAATAATAGGATGTTTCTGAAGGACTCTTTCAACACCCTGTAGTTTGTCTTTTTCTGTCAAAGGCAGCATTACTGCCCTGTGGGTAACCTAGTATAACACTATAGTGACTTTGAAAACGTTTCGCGAAGCGTTTGTGGTTGAATTTTACCTTAAATTGAGGTTTATATTACGTATAATAACATGCCTAACATATATATGTTGGGAAATTAATAATTTTGTAACTAAAAGTGAGATTTTTAGGCGATTTTTCATTTGTAAGAATATTCTTAAAAAATTATCATGTTACCATGACAACTACTTTACATACTTCATGTTCGGAAAATACAATGGTTTTGTCAGCAAGGCGAGGGTTTCTGCATGCATGTATTTTCTAGTATTAGTATATACATAAAGCCTGTTTTTCAAATGTCATTTTCGATCTTTTTAAGCAGAACGAGCTCAAAGACAAAGCATCGTTGGATGAAAATAAAGTCGATACAGAAACTCTTCCAGGTAAATTATCAACACGCAGTTGATGCGTATCTCCTTGCCACACGCAACGCACATTGTGCAGCGAAATCTACCGCCATTTCATGTTCACAAACTTTGAAGGATTAGGGAAACAAATGAAAATGGTATAGATATAATGGTTGAGGGAAATTATATGTAAAAGTTTTAAACAGTATACTTCGTTCGAGTTTTAAAATTTAAGCAAGTTGCATCTCGTGCAGCCTGCAGTAAAGCAATAAATTGTCTGAACTTTGAATCCGCTACTGTTTCGCCAGTATAGGTTTGAACGCTTTATTCAGTTTTTACTTTATGATTTTAGAGGATGTCCGTGGCATTCCAGAATTTTGGTTAACTGCGATGAAGAACGTTGATCATATTGCTGACATGATTCAGGTACACAAATACTGAGTGTGCACTTACATGTATATATATGTACAGGGAGGGTATATCAAAAAAGGTAAATGTTTCGACTGGGCATGTTATCATGCGTTAGGTTTTAAATTTATAAACTTAAACCTAACAAACGCCTGATAACCTGCCAAGTCACTTTTTCATACCTGTACCGGCAACCACCTTTGCCATCAAGCAGGGGTTTTTGCGAGATGTGCACCTCTGGCCCTTGTCAGAGAGGCCGCATGAGGTGCTATTTTTCGTGAGATACAGTAATTTGAGTGAAACATGATAAGCGAACTGTGAACAACAATTACAATTCAAATACAGTAGTTGATGGGCGGGCGGCGCACATCGCTCAAAAACTTTCGGAAGTTTTCGGAAACACGTGAACCATGGAAAAAGTCAAAAACAGATTTTTAGTTAACTATACAATTGATTATTTACTCAAAAATTCAAAAAAATAGTGTCACGTTCTTCTGCACTAATACATATATGTCAAAGATTTTTTTCAGATATCCGGCAAATCCGGTATCCGGCCGGAGAGTAAAAATCACTATCCGGTGCACCCCTAGTCTACAGATCAATTCGTTGAGTGGCGGATGCTCGACTCCTAAAGATGCGAGTTCACATCCTGCTCGAGTCTGATTTTTCAGTTGAATTGAGCAGTGCACGAAACTATGTTTGAAGTGTATGGCTGTTTACATACGCTCTATTGCATTTTAACTTGCAATGCCTCATATTACATGCATGTATGTGAGTGCAGTATACATGTTAAACACTGTCCACTGAATCCATGCAGGCAGCATCAGAAACTTGTCAAACATAAAGTTCATCATCTATATTTAGGAACATGATGAACCCATTTTGAAAAACCTGAAAAGTATCGACCTGAAATTTATCGACGAAGAGAAATCCTTGGAAGACAGCAGTGAAGAATCCATGGAAGGAAATATGGTAAGTATTGATTATTGGTTATTGAACTTATTGGTTTTATTTGCCAAATTGTTAGCTATTTACAAGATATTAATCAAATAAGATCGGCGAGGAGACCTCAAGAAGCTTAGAGCTTGTGTAAAGAGGCCACCCCGTGATAACCTGCCCAGTCGAAATATGATAACCTGCCCAGTTCACAAATTTCAAGAAAATTATTTTAGTGTATGAATGTATGATAAAGCATAGCCTATCGAAGGGAATTGCTGTGAAACTCATTGGTTTATTCATAAATTTGGTCCTTCAACGTCACGTGTGTATTGTATTTTTGCCCAACTAACCATGCAATAGCAATGTTTTAGGAAAGTTACCTATCCGTGACTCGAACAATAGGGAAAGTGGAGATTGTTATTCGTGGATTTGGCAAAAATACAATACACACGTGACGGTGAAGGACCAGATGTATGATAAACGTTGACTAACATAGATAATGGTGAGCTTAAGCAAGTGACGTTTTTGACAACACGAACGGCATGAGTAACGTTAAAAGCCTGGGTCAAGGGCTGTGATTGGTGAAAAACGTCAACTTTACTTCCGGTCGACGTCCGTGTTGTCAAAAACGTCACTTGCTTAAGCTCACTAATTATTCTAATGAGTTTCACAGCCATCTTCCCTTCGATAGGCTATGGGCTAAACCCAATTTCAAGGAAACCAAAGACTTTTCCAAGCCAAATTAGAGCTGTGCGCCGGCTCCGGTATATTTTGCCGGGGCGGAGTTGGAAAACTCTGGCAGACAAAATTATGAAAAATTATTTCATATTTCAATGAACATTTGGTATTAAATAGGAAAATTAAGTTGTTGTTTACTAGTATATTACTATTTATATGTTGTTTTACTATATATTACTATGTTGTTTACTATTAATAGTGTTAAAAATTCCTTGCCGGAGCCGGAGCTAAAATAACCGGAGTTTGCACAGCTCTAAGCCAAATATATTAATTTAAAACCGGTCTAGTTTCTTTGGCATTTCCCACTGTTACCAGCCCAAAACCAAAATTCAAAATCCTCTGCCAATCTTTCTGCGAACTGCAGAATTGAAAATCCTTTGTTGGAAACCAAAATATTTTGTTGGAACGACGTTCCCAGGATCCACTATATCCAGGTCTGGTGGTTAATGTCGCTTCCAAGAAGGGGCATGTGTTAAATATTTTCCAATGTGAGCTCTAGTGGTAGAGAAATGAAAACAAAACAAATCGCGTTTGTCGTCTAATCACATCGCCAATACCATCTCCGATTTTTTTCAATCCGGAAATATAGTTACCCAAGTATCATGCTATGCACGGCTCTTTCGTTGATTCGATTATCACTAAGTTTATGGGCTAGTTTGGTATTGTTTTAAAGATGTATTAGATGTGAGAGGCGAGCTATACGTTTTAAATGTTGGAATTTCGTTCAAACATTGTTCATTTCTTTTAGGGTTTCATTCTAGAGTTTCATTTCACTCCCAATGCGTATTTTAATAATTCCGTAAGTATAAAACCCTAAAGCATGTAATGTTACATTAATTTAACTACATGAAAATATTTCGTATTGCAGAACTCTCTCTAAGCAGCATTTTAACCTTTAACTGTCAGAAACTGTAATGCATAGTTAATATAATGAAAGGGTTTGGAAGGCCGGAAAACTTCAAAGCAACACGTGACCTATCAACACAAACTCGCAATCTCGTACCCAGAGTATGCCCGTTCGCAGGTTAGGTGCTGGTCATGCGAACGGGCATACTCTGGGTACGAGATTGATAAACTCGAAGAGACGCATCACGTGACAGTCGAGGTGCATAACATGGCGATTTCATAGTATAATCTATATTAATTCTATAACAATTGGGTTTTTTTCGATGGTTTTACAACGTTTTGATAAATGTAAAGACTTTATCCTACTTTGCCTATGCAAAAGGCAACGTTTGAGACCTTTTTATGTTCCATTGGCCAATCTGCTTCCGCTTTACACCGTAAAAATCACCAATAATGTATAAAGTTCGTAGCTAGATATATCACATACATTTATATTAATAGGCATTTGTAGCTTTCAAAAAATTCTGCTTACTAGTAAATTTTATACAGAATACATCCACCGCTTTAAAGTTTTCGGCTAAGGTAATATTTTACCGAGTATTCTCACGGAAACTTGTGTTTATTCAAATTTATACGACTATGAATGTTTGAAACAGCCAAAATATATATACTTCCCTTGTGGTCGTTTGAGCACTCTGCCCCATTACGCTCTGCGCATGTCTGGATGCGTTGATTCACCGTGTTGTACCACATGCCTTGGTGAGAGCAAGTTCATGGGGTATAAATACGATTGTCTCACGTATCTAGACGTGTACCAAGCTGCACTGACGAGGCGTTGAACGCCGAAACATGCATGTCTGCAGATTGTACTATTACGCTCCTTCACTTCGGTGTTGTTGAGCACTCTGCGGAGTTGTTAATGGGTGTCTATTAGCGATAATGCAAAGCTCACTTCCCTTGTGGTCGTTTGAGCACTCTGCCCCATTACGCTCTGCGCATGTCTGGATGATGTTGATTCACCGTGTTGTAACACATGCCTTGCGTTCATGGGGTATAAATACGAGTGTCTCACGTATCTAGACGTGTACCAAGCTGCACTGACGAGGCGTTGAACGCCGAAACATGTATGTCTGCAGATTGTACTATATATATATATATATATATATATATATATATATATATATATATATATATATATATATATATATATATATATATATATATACATATACATATACAGAGCACTATATATATATATGCATACAGAGCACTATTGTTTTCGACTCTAAAGGTCCTGACCTTAAACACCGCACTGATATGTAAATGTAGCATCTTAGATAATAATGCTTTAATACAACACTCATATTCTTCTTTCCTAAAATGCCTCTCACAGATCGACATACAGGTTTCCGCTATTGATTTGTCGACGCAAACTTTCGTCCACAGAGCAGTCCTTCGTGATAACACTTATCCAAGCTTCGCGGGACAGACGCGGGTTTTCTTCGATAATTCATCTCTTTCTGCAGGAATTTTAAAAATTCCTACTCCAACGTGCTTTCGACTTGTCGCGCAACCAAATATGGATGATTTTGTGTTCCCCTTAGCTTAATCTATACGATTTTACTACGTTATTTTGTCACGTGACCGGGCCTTCCGAACCCTGTCATTATATTAACTATGTGTAATGTAAAAAGAATTTTTTATTTTTTTTTTTTAATCTGAATATGGACTTACACTCCAAATCTTTTAATTTAATAAAATGAGTATTAGCTAGGCCTGTGGTCTGATTTTGCTTGAAAATATTTTTCGATGTTTCCTTTACCTTGTCCAACAGATTTAATGATTTGTGTCTGTTATCTTGTATTAGGTATTAACAAAAACATACAAATTATCTTGTGAAGTTGACAAGGATACTCCATTTGCGTTTGAAGGACCAGAAATAACCACCACAGCAGGGTAAGGTTATATCTACCGCTATATATAGTCGCCATTGTAGAGGGTTTCCACAAAAGATCTCCCCCCCCCAAAAATATCTCCCCAAATATCTCCCCAACTATATTTTGTAGTATGAATTCTTTAGCTCTCAATGTAAGTTTCAGGTTTTTATATCGACTTTCATATCGTGACATTATCAACAGTATATTGACATTTATAATATAGTCATTCACCGTATATGAGCTGTTCTGCAATCTGATTGGTTGAATTACTCGCCGTATATCAGTTCATATACGGCGAGTAGCGAAAAACAAGATGACTACATGAGTTTTGCGAAGCAGAAAAAAGGAAAATATTCGCTTTGAGAAAGATAATAATAGTACAGGGAAAAACTCTCAAAAAAATTTGACAGGTTAGCAAAATACATTTATTACATAGAAATTAGTTTAAATACAAGTTTTTTAAAGAATTAATACCGAAACAACAACGAAAAAAACATGTTCATTGAGAATATAAATTGTTGAGAAAAGTTTGCAACGAAAGACAAATGAATTTGCAGTCAACAAGCACTTACTATACTACAAAACATCTGTATAATATATCTGAGCTTTTCTGTGAGATATACCGGTTCTAAAACCATTTCTTTCACTTCGTCTTCGAGTTGTAAAATTTCAATTTCAAATTTTCAAGGCCAAGGGCAAGGCCCAAGGCCAAGCGGTTTTTGGCCGAACAAATTGTCAAGACATTGTAAGAGAGGATAATTAATTATTGCTTCAGTTAATGGCTATTAGACTATATTATAAAACAATTATACCATTCGCTCTCGTCGTGCTACGCACCTCGTCTGCTATCAGCTCATATACGACTCGAGCTCATGGTATAATTGTTAAATGATTGATGGTTAATTAAACTTATTTCGATACTTGAACGTCTTATTCTACGAGCGCTGTTTCTCGGCGAAATGCGAAACATTTCGCACGAAATGAATTCGTGCATGCGCAGTAAAGACACATACTCAGGTGCAACCATCCATACTTCACAGTAACAATTTCGCGCGAAGAATTTCGACGTCGTGGAATCAGGCCTTCTTCTCTTCTCGTTTTATGCTGTTCATCATAAAAATTTTGTTTCGTGTAAAAATTAATGATTCAAGCACGTTAATACGTTAGGTGAAAGAACAGCCCGAAAATAAGTAAAACACACGCCATTGCAGAGCCTGAAATAATTTTAAAATTTGTCCGGAAAAACTTCCGATCAAAACGAAATTTGACCGGAAATTTGCAAAATTGACCGGAATTTTTTTTAGTTTAGTTTGACCAAGTCCACCCCCAATGAGCAAACTCTGTCAAGCATGCAGACGTGCACTACTTGCAATTGTGTAAGGCAATTGTAACTGTAGCGAAAATTCAAAATGGTCGTGAGCCGACGGGTGTTTTAAATTGATTGACGGGTGATTTAAATTGCAAATTAATTAAGACTCACCTCACATTTTCACGACAACACCACGCTGTAAGCCGCCTTATATCTCATTTGTGTCGGTTTTCTTTGATCGTCCGAGGTTTATAACTAGGTAATATACCTTGAATAAATAATTACATCAAACTTTTCGACAAAACGCGAGAATTTTTCATCAAAAATTTTTGAAAATGACAAAATATGTTAGAAAACCTCCACAAATGAGATATTAGTTATAAACCTCGAAAGTCGGTTTAAACTGTATATTGCCCTCGGACGCTGCGCGTCCTCGGGGGCAATATATCAGTTATAAACCTCCTTCTCGGTTTATAACTCTAACTTCTTGTTTATTGAGCCCGTGAACTATACTTTCCAGTTGATTACTTTATATTAGCCTAATATAGATAATCCAAACTTATAGATGGTACTCACTGTGCTGAGCGCCGACCCGATCATTAAGAAAACATTTGTCTTTTTCTCAAAATTTGGCCGGACAAAATTTCCGAAAATTTGGTCGGAAAACCGCCGGCCGTTATTTCAGGCTCTGCCATTGTGGGAGAATGCGTTCAGGGTGAAGTGACCTAATTAGTGAGCTTAAGCAAGTGACGTTTTTGACAACACGTACGGCATGAGTAACGTCAGAAGACTGGGTCAAGGGCTGTGATTGGTGAAAAACGTCAACTTTACTTCCGGTCGACGTCCGTGTTATCAAAAACGTCACTTGCATAAGCTCACTATTGTCCCGGAGCCGGCGGCGCGAAGCGCCGTGCGAGGGTACTAATTCCCCCCGGCTATTTACACCCGGGGAAACGAAAGCATTAGCGAAGTCTAAAGTTCATCAATGAGCGCGGGCGTCGGTCACCAACGATGGGTGGTCATCCTCACTGATCTCAAAAATATGGCGGACTGTCATGAATAACGGACACTGATTGGTCCAATTTAAAGTTTGCATTATAACGACTGCATGACGACAGCGAAATAGCAAACATTTCATGATTTGATGAGTTGGTGATTGATAAATTTCTTGCAAATATTCTTCATTTTTGCTCGTATTTCTGCAAGATTTTGCAAATTTCAAGAAAGAAAGAGCGAAAGAATCAGCTAAAATAAGGGAGCCGACGTTAACGAAGGTAAGTTTGTTTTAAATATTGATTTTATAATGGCTTTAAAACCCGACGGCCTTTGCGTATATGAAACAACTAAACAAGACAGCATATAATTTCAGTGTATCTTTAATATTGATTCCCTTTTTTATTATATTGAATTTTTTAAATAAAAAATAAAGCAAAGTTATTTGCAAGCGAGAATTTGAAATCATTTTATTGCAAACTCAAAGTTTATCGATAAATCCATTTAATAGTTAAAGGCAGTTTAGTTTTATAAAGAACACTTTAAAACGTTTTGTGAATTGTTTGTGGTTGAATTTTACCTTAAATTCAAGCTTGTATTACGTATAATTACATACCTAACATATATATGTTGGGAAATTGATAATTTTGTAATTAAAAGTGATATTTTTATGCGATTTTCATTTGTAAGAATATTCTTAAAAAATTATCGTGTTACCATGACAACTACTTTAGATACTTCATGTTCGGAAAATACAACGGTTTTGTCAGCAAGGCGAGGGTTTCTGCATGCATGTATTTTCTAGTATACATTATACTCTTAAACTCTTGTCAACCCAAAGACTCGTTAAGCCATATGTTTTTATCCCGCAGGGGTATATATAAGATCTGCCAGGAGAGACTGAATGCCCTATGGGTGATATTCATCCCCGATAAGGCCCTGAATTGAATTTGAATTTAATAATTTGCCACCATTTTTAACAACCAGTCTTCTCTACAATACTGATAATTTGTGGTGTTTATCATGAAAATTTTGTTTCATGTAAAAATTAATAAAAACGAGACGAAGTCTTGGTAGACAGAGGATAATGTCCAGAATTTTTGCTGCTTTCGATTCTTTTCGTCGCATACAGTGCTCTCACAATCAAATTTTCGAATTCCTTAGAAAAAGCTCGAAAATTCCTCAGATTTCCTTAAAATTCCTTAAATTGGTAAAATTACTACACTGGCCTGATCACATAGTTGCAAAAAGTGTTTTTTCTCCTTTCTTGCTGTTTTTCAATTTTTCAACCTTGTTTCTAAGCACTAAAAACTGAAAACATTTGATTGTTAGCATAATGCTATAAAGAAAACATTCAACATGATATATTTTTAATCGTGTCTGCATGAAGAGCTTAGAAAGTCTGTAGATTTCAGAAGAAACAGCATATACTGACATTTAACTTTTGAGAATTTTAATCAAAGACAGCCATATGTACATTTATGACATGAGAACATACGAATATATCAGGGGCGGCGGAACAGGGGGGGCTAAAGCCCTCCCAGAAGTAAAAGTGGGGGGGCTTAGCCCCCCCAGAAAATTTGAATTTTTTGAAAAAATTTTGATAATTAGGGAAAAATTTAGGTTATTTTTTGAAAATTTAGGTATAAGGGGACAAATTTGCAATATTTTGTTTAAAAAAAGTGTATTTCCGAAAAAAATTTTTGATATAAGTCCGAAAAAATTTTTTTCGTCCCTTTTTTTGTATATTGTACCCCTAAAGTGGTACACTGACCGAAATTTTTTTGGCGACGGGGGGGGAGGTCGCCGAAAAAATTTAGCCCCCCCAGAACGAAATCTGTTTCGCCGCCGCTGGAATATATGTAATTATGTGCGTATAATGTTGCTACTTTCAAGTTTAAATTGCATTTGCGTGGCGTGGTTATCCTCCGTCCAACGCACTTAGC